CTAGCTCAGAAACATCAAAGCCCACCAGCCTGTGTGACCATGAGGTGTAGAAGGGACCAGGTATCAGACATCAAAGAATAAAAAATCATATCAGTAGGTGCCCACCTTCCCGATATCATCACTGAAGACAAATGTGTGCATAAGCAAATGTGGTGAAGAAAACTGATGGTGTCCGGCTATCAAAAGATATAGCATCTGGAGTCTTAAAGGCTTGAAGATAAGCAAGCGGCCATCTAACTGAGAAACAACAAAGCCCACATGGAATAAGCACACCAGCCTGTGTGACCACGAGGTGTAGAAGGGGTCAGGTATCAGGCATCAAAGAACAAAAAATCATATCATTGTAAATGAGGTGAGTGCAGAGTCGAGACCCAAAGCCCATCTGTAGGCAATTGGACACCCCTTTACTGAAGGGTAGTGGGGAGGAGACGAGCCAGTCAGGGTGCAGGGCAGCCATGATGAAACACACAACTTTCCTCTAGTTCTTAAATGCTTCCTTCCCCCAACTATCATGATCCCAATTCTACCTTACAAATCTGGCTAGACCAAAGGATGTACATTGGTACAGATAAGAACTGGAAACACAGGGAATCCAGGACTGCTGACCCCTTCAGGACCAGTGGCAAGAGTGGCAATACCAGGAGTGTGCAGGGAAGGTAGGGTAGATAGGGGGGACCGATTAGAAGGATCTACATATAGCCCCCTCCCTGGGGGATGGACAACAGAAAAGTGGGTGAAGGGAGACATCGGACAGTGTAAGATATGACAAAATAATAATAATTTATAAATTATTAAGGGTTCGTGAGGGAGGGGAGGAGCTGATATCAAGGGCTCAAGTAGAAAGCAAATGTTTTGAGAATGACGATCTCAACAAATGTACAAATGTGCTTGACACAATGTATGTATGTATGGATTGTGATAAAGAATTGTATGAGCCCCCAATTAAATGATTTAAAAAATAGTTGCAGAATCAACAGGAAAGTTAACATGGAGTTTTAATAAATTTTAAATAATAAAAATATGCAGGATAGAGAACAGAAGAAGAGACAAGTATACAAAAATAAAATGATAGACCATATGCAAGCATATAATTACATCAAATATTAATGGTCAGGTTTGCAATTAAAATGCAAAGAATGTTGAATTTGGTGAAAATAGAATGTGTCCAAAGTATGTGAAACTAATTCTATCTTTACTTCAAAAGAGTATTCTGGCTTTACTTTCTCTAAGACAGGTTGAGTTTTTCTTCTGTTAGGGCATCGTACTTTGAATATTATTTGCCAACATCATAATTGAGATACATCAATTCTTCTCAGGTCTTTTTTACTCATTGTCTAACTTCCACTTGCATATGAGGTGATTGAAATACCATGGATCGGTCAGATGTACCTCAGTTCTCAAGGTAACATCTTTGTTCTTCAGTACGCTAAAGAGGCTCTTGGGCAGCAGATCCCCAGTGTCATACTTCATCATGCTGCCATGAGTGTGGACCATGATGTTGTCTGTTGGTCCAGTTGTGAGGATTTTGTTTTGTTTTGTTTTACATTGAGTTGAAATCCATTCTGACAGCTAAGATCTTTGATCTCTATCAGTAGGTTCCTCGAGTTCTCTTTGCCTTCAGCAAGCACGGTGTGTCATCTTCACAGTGCAGCTTGTTAATGAGCCTTCCTCCACTGCTAATTCATTTTCTCCTGGAAACCTGTCCACCGTTGCTAATGTTTGAATTACCAGTGGCATCACTTCCAGCATCACAGCAACATCCAAGCCACCACAGTACAGCAGAGTGACAGATAGAAATAGTATAAAAGAATACACCTAGCCACCAGAGAGGAAACTCTGATAGACGGTGATTAAAGTGCGTGGCTGCAAACAGGAAGGTTGGCACTTTGAAGCTACTACACTATCCATTTCATGGGAGAAGGATGAGGCAGTCAGCTTCCTATCGTAAGGATGACAGCCTTGGGAACCCTATGAAACAGTTCTACTCTGTCCGGTGGGGTTCCTAAGAGTTGGGACTTACTAGATGGCAATGAGGATAAGAGGGATTGCCACAGTGGCTGCAACTACGGACTCAAACATAACAATAACATGGATATACATGGCATTCCGATGAGCCAGAACCAACCAAACAGCACCTAACAACAGCAGATGGCAATGGGTTTGGGTTTACAACCCCAAACAGCAAAGTACATATTCTTTTCGGGTACATGTGGTTTATTTACAAGGATACACCATATGCTATCACAAAGTTTATCTCAGTTAATTTAGGAAGTTTGAAATTCTATAGAGTATATTCTTTTAGTACAGGGAAATTAGTTAGAAATCAGTAACAGTAAGATAGTCAGGAAAATGATTAATGGGGTAACATGTCTTAATAATCGTGTCAAAGAGAAGAAAGAGATCTAAAGCATTAGAGCACTGGTTCACGACCTTCCTAATGCCACGGCCTTTTAATACAGTTCCTCATGTTGTGGTGACCCCTAGCATAAAATTATTTTTGTTGCTATTTCATAACTCTAATTTTGCTACTGTTGTGAATTGGGCAACCTCTGTGAAAGGGTCCTTCGACCCCCAAAGGGGTGATGACCCACAGGTTGAGCACTGTTGTGTTAGAGAATCTTTTTAAGTGAATGGTAGTGAAAGAGCCAAACTTACACAATTTTGTGAAGTATAGTGGCAGGAGTGCTTACAGAGAACTTTATAGCTTTAAATGCCTACATATGAAATGAAGAAAAGTCTTAAGTAAATAACCTAAGCGTTTATCTTGGGAAACTTGAAGAGGCACAGAAAATTAAGTATAAAGCAAACAAAAGCCATCAATAATAAAGATGATATGAAGCGCCAGTGACGTAGGAAAAAAAAAACCCAAATAATTGAGAATAGTCAATCAAGCCAGAGCTAGTACTTTTTGTGGTAATGGTGGCGGGAAGAGGGGTGGCAGCATCAAAAGAATTGAGAAAACATCTTAAAAATTTGATCAAGCAAGAAAAAGGGAAGACACAGATTATCAGTGCTGACATGAAGGGGAGAAACTAAAACGTTAATTTAGTATATATCAATTAAAGGAATTGAATTAGTAATTAAAAGCCTTTAAAAAAAACCTGCAGACTTGAGTACCTTCACTGGTGATTTCTGTCAAACCTTTTGCAGATATAATACCAATACTTCACAAAGTATATCAGAAAACAGTATGAGGAATAATTCACAATGCTATTATAAGAAAAGGGAAATATAGTTTAATATCGTTCTGTATATAAATGCAAATTTCTTAACAAAATATCAAATTGAGTCAACAATATAAAAATGAATAAGGCAACATTAATCAAAATGGATGTTTTTCAGAAATTTAAATTTCACTCATGTCTGAAAATCAGTCAACTACAAAACTTAACCACATTAAATGAGGAAATGATCATATGACTACTTCAGCACATTGAAAAGTGCATGAAGAGTTCCATGCCTTTTCAAGACCAAACACACAGAAGACTGAAAATGGAAGGGCGCTTTTTCAGCCTGACTGAAAGTGTCAATAAAAACTGACAGCTTTTATAATATTCAAGGATAAAAGACACATTTCTTTATTCCTAAGATCCAGAACAAGGCAAGATATCTTCTATCATCATTTTTATCTAACATTATGAAAGCCTGTTTAAGAGCAGTAAATAAAAGGCATTTGGATTTGAAGGGAAGAAATAAAGCTCTTTATTGTCAAGTAACATGATTGTGTGTGTTGAAAATTCAAGAAAATTAAAGCTACCAGAATGAATAAGTTTAATAGGAGTGTAAAATATAAGGTCTGTTTATAAAGTTGGCTTGCATTTCTAAATAATGAGAAAAATTACAGAATGAAATTTTACAAAAGATCTCCACTAACCTAAAAAAATACTTGGAACAAATTCATTTATAGGTAGATGTGTGAGCCCTTTCTACAGAAAATTATGAAACTTTGCTTTGGGAAATTAAAGACTTAGAGAAGTATACTGTGTTCATGGGTTGGAAGACTTACATTATTAAGCTAACTCAAACTCACTCTGATCAAGACAATTCTGACAGTAACTATTACCCTAAAATTCATTTATAGACTTAGTGACTTAATATATTTCCATTCAAAATCCTCACAGACTTTTGAGGAAGAAATCAACAAGCAGATTTAAAATCTACATGGGGGGAAAGAAAAGAATTTTGACTGTTTAGCCCACCTGTAAAATTAAAAGCATGATACCCATTTAAGCTACAAACTGTGCCGATCTTAAAAAATAAGTAAAAAGAAATACAACTTATCTGAGGACAAAGATTTGGGCTTAGAAAAGCTTTCTTTGGAACTCCTGTTGAAGTTCATGTAGATCTTGATGGATAAGTGGTTAGTTTGTAATAGCTAAAATAAATATTACAAGTAGCCAAAAAAACCCACAAGCATTTAGGGTTAATTTTACATTATAGGTGGAATACATACAAGTAAAAGTTAACTATACTTCTAAACTATTTTAAGAGGATATTAAAAGTAGTCCTGTCTCTCTCCTAGCTTCTCTCCGCCCTCTCTCCCTTCTTTCAGATAAATGCTACTGAAAATATTAAACCTGTGATGAAAATTACTTTTAGGGTTATATTTACCTTGGGTTGAGGAGTGTGTGTGTGTGTGTGTGTGTGTGTGTGTGTGTGTGTGTGTGTGTGTGTGTGTGATGTTATTTTGGACTATATCTCTGTTAATTTTATATTTTATAAATGAACATACATAAATAATTATCCTGGTCTATTAATGAGAGAAGGTCCCTAGTTAAGGACATGACTACTAGCCTAAAGATTGGTGATTTGAACTTACTCAGTGGAGCCAAGAAAGGCCTAACAATCTGTTTCTTTAAAGATTGTAGCCAAGAAAACCCCGTGAAACAGTCTTACTCTGTAACACATGGGGTTCCTATGAGTCAGAACTGATCAACTTGATGGCAACAGTTTTGCTTTGATTTGTTTTATTAATGGGAAATTTTCCTCATTTTTCGTAGGGAAGAATGGACAGAAGCTATCCAGGCTGTAGCTGACAGACTGCAGAGGCAAGAAGAAGAGAGAATGAATTGTAGTCCAACCTCACAAATAGATAATATAGGGGAGGAAGAAATGGATGCATCTACAACACATCATAAAAGAAAGGTAGAACTCTATGTTAACGTATTCCCTTTCTAGGCACATTGAGTAGGAAGAACTATACAAAAAGACATCAGGTTATCTTACGATAAGTAATCATGAATGGTTTTTATTCTGGTGAATCTGAAATATCTTTTGTTGTTTAAAGCCAGATAATTCAACCCACTTGTAACGACCCTGTAAAGATCCCTTCAGTGGTTCCGGACAATAGACATCAAATAGTGGCCTTCCTTCCTATTCTGGATCCTGACTCATACTGACCCTTTAGGACAGAGTTGAGCTGTTCCTTAGGGTTTCTGAGACTATCTTTTTCATAGGAGCAGACAATTTCATCTTTTCCCACAGAGCAGCTGGTGCGTTTGAGCCACTGACCTTGCAGTTAGCAGCCTAACACTTAGCCCTCTGTACCACCAAGATGCCTCCAGAGTGTGTGTTATTCTGGAGTTATGGTTACTATTGCATTGTACTACTTATAATGTGTATGTTTTTATATCATTTTGTGAACTTGGGGGAAAAAATGTCCTTTTTCATTTGACATTCTCTGTTTTCCTGAAGGCAGAAACAGAAACGACACTGGCATACTTCCTGCTTGGTGCCCCAGCCTTGATCATGTCAGGAGGCTAAGTGAGCATTCTTGAAAAATGAAAACTTCTCACTGAAGTGGCTGCTTCTGAGCCAGTGAGGGAAACAAGTTTTCTTTCCTCTGTGTTCCAGAAAAATATGTGCCAATATATATTTTTATGAGAATTGTATGTTTTTCACGGTTATAGAAAATGGAAAATCTGATTTCTTATGTTAAAAAATGGTCTTTCAAGATTAACTTAAGGCTGTAGGTATAGTTTTAGGATATATATATATATATATATATATATATATATATATATATATAGATATCTATCCATATATATATATATACACACATGATATATATAATTTTCAATTATAAAATTATTAGTAATCTATTTTACGTAGAAAACCTTTAAAAAGTACTGCTGTAATTTGTTATCTGCACAGTGATTAAGAACTTCTCTGGAACTATACTACTGGAGTTCAAGTCCTCCCTATCGTACTTGCTGAGAGAACTTGGTGTAGTCACAGCCTGTTTGTTGTTAGGTGCCATTGGTGTGGTTCTGACTCACAGCAGTCCTATGTGCAACAGAAAGAAACACTACCCAGTTCTTCACCATCCTCACTTCTCACAGGTGTTACATGTGATCGTGCCGCACTCTGCCTCCTTGCATGTGGCTGCATGAGTCTGAAGAGGGACTCATGGACTACATGGCAGCGGGCCTTCAGACTCACTTTTCATACTTCCCAATAATCATTTCTGTCAAACATTTTATCAATAACAGTAGTTTGAAAATATCAATATAAGCCTAGTACAGCCAGATCCTAAACACATTCTTAAAGCAGTCAAATTCAATCCTATCTCAACTATTCCCTTCATGTATAATACGGCCTTAGGCCTCTGACTGCTTCAAGCAAGGGCCAGGTCTTCTGTCATCCATTTTGACTAAGCAGCATGGTCTTGGAGGAGTTCAATGGGTGATTTCACCCCGAGTTCCAAATTTACACTTATCACACTCAATTTTCACCACTTCAGGAAGGAAAAACTAAAGACAACAACGAAAGAAAGGAATAAAAACTTTAACTTTCCATATTCTTTCCGGAATACAATAAACAGTGTGGGCCTATCTGACCTCTGGCTAACCAAAGAAGAATTAAAAACTACCACAATACAGAGATCAGACAACAATCCACTCTCCATCTTCATGATTTGTTTCTTTAGTACCCCACTCCAAGGTACCATAATGGGTTAGGCCAGGTAGACTAGAGAAATAAATCCAGAGACACTTATGTATGTATAAGAAAGAGCTTTAGATCAAGAAGTAATATATATCAAGAAAACATCGCAGCCCAGTCCAGATTAAATATATAAGTCCAATATTAGTCCATATTGGACTTATATATTTATAACTAGTCCATAACCTGTCTTCAGACTCATGCAGCCATGTGCAGTGAAAGAGAGAGAATGCAGGAAGATCACAGGCCAGTGGGTGCAAAGTCTGATGCAGTGGACTCATCAAAGTGCTCAGGCAGGTCTCAGTGAGGCTCCTCCACAAGACAGTGAAGTCAGAGAGAGAGGGGAGGTTCCCAGAACCCTCCTTATGAGAGAGTCACACCCACAGGAGGCACTGTCAGACTGTGACCTGATTGACAGACTAGTATCCACCCCTACACTTTTATATCTTCGAGTTACTATGAAACTTATGTAACTAACACACCAACTATTCTTTGGGATTCCATAGGGGTAATTTTGATGACATTTCCTTAAAGGACACATGATAATCACAAGGGATGAAATTTTAGAAAATCGATAACGACATTTTGAGACAAAGTACAGCAAGTTAGTTATACCAAGGAATTGCTTTCCGTGATGATAATCCACTTGTTATTCTATAAAGGTATCAGGGGCTTTCCTATGAGAATTTACTTGGGAAACCTTACTCCATCCACCCACTAACTCCAACCAGACTTTCTATTTTCCAAGACTCAACAATAAAAAGAAATGCAATGTGAATCTCTTAAGGATTCCAAAGCCATTATTTTGATGTGGCGTAAATTGAAGAATACACAATTCTTCACAGAAGGGTGAGATACAGAGGAGAGAAGGAAGAAGAAAGAGCAGGGAGAAGGAGAAGAAGGAGAAGGAGAAAGAAGGAGAAGGAGAAGAAGAAGAAAACCTTTAGAAGAGAAGCAATAGCTTCATATTTTGATTTTCTGTGTAATAAAGTTTTGTGATTTTACAGCAGTACTTTTTGTAAACTCTCATAAAAGTTATTTTAATTATTATACTTTACAGTTTCATTATGCAACAGTTATTTTTCTTGGTTCATAAATTCTGATCCTCTAATCTCATTCTCATACAAACACACACATATGTATGTAAACATTACTTATTACCATTGAGCAAGTTCTAATTCACAGTGACCCTGAGTCATTATATTAGACACAAAATTAGACAGATACCTTCTCCCTATATTTCTCTGTCACTTGAAATATTATGAAAAACTGTTGCACTCACATAGTGCTTGCGTACTAGTTTATCTCATTTTATTCTAGAATATTTTCATTCATCAAGAAAATTTTAATATTAGGGAGTAATGGTAGCATTTGAAGACTTCAAAGTCCTATTGCCCATGTCCCAAGTATTGGTTCCAGTAATCCTTCTGTCCTTTAGTTCCCTAATCTACAAAAATGGGATAATTATCACATAGAATTATGAGAGTTTAAGTGATAGGATATGTATAAGGTGCTTATATATTAAGTGATCAGTAAGTTAGCTATCGTTAACTAGTAGTATACTACATCTATATACATATTACGTAGCATCTTTCTAAAACAGATGGTTTTATAATTATCTTTCTGTAATAAAAGTTGACAGGAGAATCTGTGGTATTTTGAATGTATTTGGACTCCACTGTCCTATTTGCCCTACAGCTGATTTTCTTTGTTTCTCACATTTTATTTGGGTTTTTGAAATTTTAGTTTAAATGACAAAGAGTGCTAAAAAAAAGAAAATTTATATCATCATTTCTTTCATAATAGTTCTAATTATTTCATTAAAATCATGAAATATTACTGTTCCTCCTTTAAAATAAGTAGCTTTAGGACTTTCTTCATGCTTATCAATTATGATGAAAAGAATTATGGAAGCCCAGATTAATTTTGTTCTGTTAAACAGATACATTCTGAAAGAAAATTAGTCTTCCTGTCCCCATTTATAAGACATATCTTTTTGTTTACACATGGGGTCACCATAAGTTGGAACCGACTCTGACACTACTGAAAACAACATTAACTACTTACTGTCTATCTCTTTAGAAATTTATTGGTAGTAGAATATATGCAACAAAATACTGCCATTTTAAGGGTATATTGCAGTGGCAGGTACAGTCACCATATTATTGTGATCACTGTCCTCACATTTTCCAAGAGAACATTAATATGTTAGAGGTTATGTAAAGGAAAAGGATATATGTAAAACATTTCCCTGCTCAATTCTAGATAGTTTTGGAAGATCATTTTTTCTGGAATCATATCCATGCTTCTGGTTTTAATCTAAGTCATATGGGATCTTTTCCCTTAAAAACATCCAAAAGAGGAAAACAATTTGTAATAAGTTATATTTAATTTGTAAAGAATAGATTATTTCTGTGTATACTAAGCTGAATTTGAGCATTTGGTATCAGAGATACTTTAAAAATTTTTCTGAAGTTTTGTCAAAACATATTAAATATATTTCTGATTTAATCACATAAAATGCTTTTGACTATTAATTTCCATGCAGTTTTTTTTAAGTTGACAATCAAACTGACAGAAGTTGTGAAATTTCGAGTTAAGGCTGTCAAACTTAAAAAAAAAAAGCCTATTGTCCCTAAGAATTGTAATCCTTAAGGAGCTTTATAATGTATTTTATAGTCATGTATTGCTTTTCATATAAAAATATAATTAACGCAGTGTTAAAACTCTCTTTTATAATTCTTCCTTCCAGAAATTCAGTTTTATTTTATATATTTAGTGATAGATGAAAAATGAGGAAGGTACCACATAAAAGAAATTTTGAACAAAAAAATGATATTACAGTCTTGGTATAGAATATTTTCTTGAACAAAATATCCAGGCAAACTGAATGGCTTGGAACAACAGTGTATGATTTCTCATGGTTTTTGTTGTTTGATTGGGTGATTCTGCTGGTCCCATGTGGATCTCAAGCAGCTGCATTTAACTGGCATATGGGCTAGGCTGTAATATCTAAGAAAGCCTTCTTACTTGTCTGGGACCTTGGTGTGGTTGGCTGTGGTAACTTGGTTCTCCTCCATGTGACTTCTTTCTCAATGTGGTGTCTCATTCCCCAGGGACTTTCCACATGGCCTTAATCTCCAGCAAAATAGCCTGGACTGACTTATAACATGAAAGCTGGCTTCTAAGACTGATTTTTCCAA